ACCATTTTCAATACTCAGAGTCTATAGTACAAAAAGATGATGAGAGAGGTGGTGATATAATTAGTAGAATTGGAGAATGTTGGACAAAATGGAGACATGCTAGTGTGATTTTATGCAATAAAAGAGTCACAAATAAATTAAAAGGAAACCTTCATCGAACAGTTATATGGTTCAGAGTGATGGACTCTAAAAAAAGAAACAAATAACAGGGATGACCAGAAGGAGCTACTAATCAAAATGTGAGAAAGAAATTAGAAGTGACACCTATTAGTAATAAGATAAAAAAAATAAATATTAAAAAATAAAAAATAAATAAATAATAAAAATAAAAATAGACTTAGGTTATATCCAGAGAAGAACTATAGATGCTCTTGTAAAAAGGAGACTAACATGGGATGAAACCATTTAAAATGATTTTAAAAAGTGAAATATTATAAGAAAATTCATATGAGATTAAGGTAAGGCGTGCACTGAACCATCTAAATTACATCACCTTTTGAGCATTTGCTTTACAATGATTTGGCTCTTAAACTTATATTAAATAGAGCTCCTAACACAATTTCATTAATCGATTGGTGTGAAGCCTTAAGGATAAGCCTAAAATGAATTCATAACTTTGAGAAATGCAGTGGGCCAGTGGCAATTGTTAGTTAATACCAAATTCTTGATGTTTGTGTAAGGTAGACAACATCCGTAAACAATTCCCACAAGAATGGATCAATTACTACATTTCGAACCTCAACTGGTTGGAGAACAATTTGTAACAATGGATGTCAGGAGGATATCAAACTCACCAAGTTGTTTAAGATCCCGAAGTCTGAAATATAGCAATATAATCAAATCATTATTATCATTTCAGTAAGTCAGAAAAACTAGTATAAGCGCATACTGAAAAAATATCAACAACAAAAAATGACATAAAACAAAGAAAAATTAGTAAAATTTAGGCAACTAATCTAAAACATTATAAACATAAACTCGCCTCTGAAATTCTTCAGTATCTATGAACTTCAGAAAAAGCTGCAACCATAACAAGAACAGATATTAGATAAAATTATCTTGACTGCAATAAAACTTAACAGATATTAGATAAAATTATCTTGACTGCAATAAAACTTAAGTTTTATTGTGTATTCATATTCAGAAGTTTGGTTGCAGCTAGTAGGTATAAGAAACATTAGAATAAAGAAACCCAAGGTAATCTAGGGCCTGTTTGGTATGCGTTTTGTTTTTGGCGTTTTGTTTTAACCCGAAAGAAAACAAGTGTTTTGTTGTAGAGTGTTTTGAATAGTAATCGGAAGCATGTTTGGTAACGTCCATTTGTTGCAAGATTTTTGGAAGAAAAAACGTGAAGAAGCAAAAACATAAAAACATATTTGGTAAAAAATTGTTGCAAGTTTGAATTAGTTTAAAAACGTCATTTAAGAGTTTTTCAACCCAAAAATTAAAAAACTACTATTCATCACTACAGTTCAGTTCAAACGCAACAGTGCAAAAACATATAAAAACACCAAATTGGTGTTTCGATTTTTGGCCACTATTCACAAAATGTTTCGGCACTACGCAAAACAAAATAAACTGCCTTTGTTCCCGACAAAAAAAAAACACCAAAAACAAAAAGCGTACCAAACAAGTGAACTACACTCATGGGCTCTATAACTTAATCTAAGCCCTTGACCTCTGTATATATGTTTGCTGTAACAAATGCACCAAATAACAACCGTGTATTACCAGCAGGCCAGTACCAAGCCTCTACTTTCCAAATGGAGGTTAGGGGTACAAGTCTCAATGAAGACATATGTGTGTGAGTACCAACTAGGAAAGAAAGAAAAAAAAAAAAAAAACATTATATTTTAATCAAGTTGCAATACCACCATCCAGTCCATCCACACGCGCACACACACAAATACACAAACATTTTTAAATTCTTTTAGGTGCAGTATTTACTTCTAGAGCTATATTCCCTGTTATTCGTATTTCTATTTTCTTTCATTCTTTTTTTTTTTTTTTTTAAGTACAATGGGCATGTAATAATCTAATGCAGTCCCTTCAAAATAAATACACATCAATCTTGAATCCACCAGAAGCCATGTACGGAGTAATTAACAATTATTAACCTAAGTGATAATATCAAAATAATCCATCTAACAATTATGTTAATATATATAGCATTGTATTGGAAAGCGAAATTGAAACAGAGAGAGACTGTTACCGGATCAAGATAAATGTTGCCATGGACATTGTCGTGGACATGCTTGGAGAATCTAAAGTCTTGTGAAGAAGAAAAGGTGTAGTTCGGAGAAGAAGTGAAGTCGCCATTGCAATAAGCTCCCATAGTCTCTGCTCCTGCAGAGGAATACATCACACGCTGAAAGCCTAATATGTGTGAATGTGCGTGTATATATATCATCAACAGTAACACTGATATTAGGGTTCGATGAAAGTGAAATGACAACTCTAGAAATTTTACTGAGCGATACGTACCAGAAAACAGAGAGAGAAAGAGAAAGGAAGAGGAGGGACTTATTTAAATTGCAGAACTTCAGAGATGTGTGGTGATGTGATGCCGCAAAGATATTTTAGTTACTGTTTCGCGAGCGAGGAGTTAAGTCACTTTGTTGGGAGGAACTCGCTGGTTAGGTAACGGAAATACGCGATGGAAATGGAGGGGGGTGGAAATGGAGGGGGGAGGAATGTGGGAAAGTGAAGGATTGTTAGAGTTGTTTGGATTGCTGTTAGAGTATTAAAAGGGCTTTTAACAATAGAACTGTTATATAAAACAAGTTTTTATACTTGAAGCACCTTTAAAATTTGTTTGGTAATGATATCCTATAAAACACTTTTATTACTAATTTTACTATATTATTTTTACATTAAACATAAGGTAAAATGCAATAAATTCTCTTCAACTATGCCCTAGCATAAAATCCTCTTGAAGTATGTTATTTGGTTGCACTTTATCCAATTCGGCAACCAGCCGATGGATTTCTACCGTGTGATAGCCCATATTTCTCTAAATGACCATAAAACCCTTATGGAATGTAAAAAGACCATAATGACCTTTAAAGACATTTGGACCCAACTAGTATCAAAACAAGCCCTAACGTTTTGTCCTTCTTCCTCATCAATCTGTGCAATATATATCTGCCTATATATGTATATATATATATATATATATATATATATATGTTGTATGTTTTACAGATGCTCGTGACCGGTCCTTTGGCATTAGAATTGAAACGATCCAAGGTATAGAAGCTTGGATTCATCCCATTTACAGAACAAGAAAAAATCAAAATTACAAAAAAATTAAAAACTCAAAACCCATTTACAAAACTAGAAGTTTGGATTCATCCTTGCCGGCCGGTCCACTCCACCGCCGCATTTCTTCCTCACGGCCGAGCCCTCGCCGGTCCATCACCACCGCTGCACCACCCGCCGTCCATCACAGCCGACATCATCCAAAGCCGAAACCGCCGAGGCCGCCTTCATATTTTCCACCGTCCGAAGCCTCCTTACTCGCCATGAGTTCGGCTATCGTTCAATCCCGCCAAGCTTGCCGTCACGAGTCATTCACGGCCGAGTCAACCGAGCCCTACACCGGCTGCGCCGCCACCATCTTTGTCGTTCACTCCACCTGCCTCGCCGTCACAGCCAGCCCGTCTCTATTAAGCCACCACAACCAAGCTCGTCACCGCCTTGCCGGCCGTTCTGTCAATAGCTGGCTTCGTTATTGCCTTTTCAATTTGGGGGTTCATCGCGTAGAGAGAGAGGGGAGTGAGAAGAGACCAGGTGAAGATAAAAAAAAGAAAAAAAAAAGAAAAGGAAAAATAATAATAAAGTCAGTAGCCAATAGACTGTTGACATGTGTCCTCCAGTATTTTATTTTCCTAATTGTGATGCGGCACCGTTTTATGAAGGGGTAAATTAGACTTTTCAAATTTCCGATAACTAAAAATGACCTGAAAAACACTCTCTGTCCTAAGATAATACCAAGACCATAGTTGAGAGGGGTTATTTGTTGTGGAGGGGGGTTAATTGCACAGGGTATAGTTGAGGGGGGTTTATTACTGTAGGTGCAAAATTTCGCTCAACCAATAATGACTGAGAAAAATAAAACAACTCACTCAAAAATAATAAAAATAAATAAGAACAATGTGTAGAGAAGTGTGGAATTGCTTGATTCTTTATTGGAGGTCTTAGCCTCTATTTATATACAAAAGATTGCAAAATTATGGTAGGACTCGCGTTGCTTGCCCTCCAATTCTTTCTATATAACCATTCTTTTCTAATAGAGTTCTTTCCATTGTTGAATTTTCCATACATAGAACTTACCTTGTACAGAACTTCCTATCCGAATTTTCCTTCTACGGTAAATTCTTCAAATGGTAGGATTTGTGCATTCTTGGGCTGAATATATTTTGATCCGGCTGGGCTTGGGTAACAGGCCGAATGTTAAATACTCATATCTGGGCTGACGACAAGCTGGGCTGATGGCTTATTGATTCGGCCTTGATGGAATGGTCTTGGGCTGTAAATACCCTCAACTTGGGCTTAAGCATGATGGGCCTTATATGTCCTTGGTCTGTAGATATGGGTAGTGGTGACGTGTGCGTTTTTTATTGGAGGGAGTTTTTTTCCCTCCACACTTTGCCCCAAATTCCATTTTTAATTGAGTGACGGCTCCTATTAAAGAGGGAATTGAAACCGGTTTTCACTTTGCTTCAGAAACGGTTCGTGGCTTTTCGTTATTACTTCCGTCGCATAAGATTTTGCAAGAGTTACATTTGCCTTTGCTGCACTTCTGCGTCCTTCATTTCATCGTTTCCTTCGCTTTGTCAGGTTAGTCTCTCATCTTTCTCTTCAATCTTTCATTATGAGTACTTCATCTACTCCCGAACGTGTAGACCTTGGGGATTCTGAATCCACACCTTCATCTTCCCCCATTCGCATTAGGGCTCTCCCTCCTAGGGTTTCTACAGATCGCCTTTCGTTGAATCCATCAGGTACTTCCCCTCTTCCAACCGAAACATCCACCTCAGGCTCTGATTACGTTCTTACCCATGAAGAGAAGAAAGCAATCATCTTTATTCGCCGCATCAAATTCTCTATTGCTTCGGTAATAGAAGAATTTGATGTTCCTGAAGGAGTAGACATTGCAGAATATCCCGAGGGTGCCGATTTCACCTCCGGCGAGGGAATTGAGGAGGATGAGTTGCTTCTTTCTGTAGGGCACCTTAACGCCCTCCGATTCCCTCTTCATCCCTTCTATCATTTAGTTTTCAATAAGCTAGGTCTTGCCCCCCTTCAAGTAAATCCCAATTTCTTTCGCATCCTTTCGGCGTTGTTGGTGCGCCGGAAATTAGAGGCTCTGGATTTGACCCTTGCCGACCTTCTGCTTACTTACAATATATCTAAGCATGGGACCGAGCCTAGTCGCTTCTTTTTTACCTCTCCCCTTCATCAAAGGATATGCACGAACCTTCCTTCATCCGAAAAGAAATGGAAAGAAAGGATGGTTGTAGTTAAAGGGAAATGGTTCGTGTCCCAATCAATTGCGCTTCCTATTCCGCGCAAATTCGGGAAATTAGGTATAGAATATTTAACCTCCCTTCATACCAAGTGTTCTGGCTGTTTTCCTTGCCAAGTCTTAATATTTCGCCGTATTTATGAATTTCTTGGTGTTTTTTCAGCTACATTCCCGGCCTCCGCAGCAAGGAACAGACTTTCTTTTCTTGAGGAACGAGTCTGGAGTAACCCCTTGCCTATCGAGGACCTGCTAACTTCCTCCAACCTCAAGGACATTGCTTCCAGTGCCGTTGCTGCAGACCTCATGGACCTGGCTTTACCATCCTTTGACAGTTTCCCTATGACCGAGGAGGAGATACGGCAGGCTGAGGCTTTAAAAAAGAAAGCCGGAGATGCCCAACCCTTGGTCGTCATTGGATCAACTGAGGATGAGGTGGAGGTTGAGGAACCACCATTGAAGAAATCTCACCTCAACCCCTCTTCCTCTGGCAAGGGTAAAGTCCCCTCTAAAAGCAGAGGGAAAAAAGCTGGGGAGGCTGAACCTGAAGATGAAGTCAGGGCCTTTGTTCTTGCTGAGACTGGAGCTCCTTGGACTCCTTCCTTCACCAGGGCTGACAGGTCAGTCCTACACTCAGGGGATTCTGTGGTTACAGACCCTTCAGCTGCACTGGCGGTGGCTCGAGGAATGTGGCTCCCAAAGGACGAGGAAGCCAACAGCCAAATGGGGCTGGAGCAACTACTCCTCTCTGCCCCAGTCCTGGCCATAGAGGTTCGCATTGCACCTTCAGAATTATGCTACTCTTGCCTGCTTGTGTTTCTATTTATGCTTATATTTGCTTCCCTGTTAAACAGAGTCTATACCACACCATGGCCCACTGCGCCACTGCTGAAGCTCAATCCCTCTCCATCAAGAAGTTGGAAAAGGATCTTGACAATGCAGAGAAGAGAGCCACTACTGCCTCTACCAATCTGAAGATAGCTTCTGAAGCCAAGGATGCGTATAAGAGGCAGTTGTCAGCCTCTGAGGCTAAGGTGGATTCTCTTCAGGCCGAGGTTCAACGCCTGACCGAGGCTCTTACTACTTGCTTCAAGGCGGGGAAGCAAATGCAGGGGCGCTACTCCTATCTGGCGCACCTGGCTAGTGCTAAGGCGTTCCGGTCTGGCTATAATCAGGGCTCAGGCCCTAAGACGATGGATCCGGACGCCTTTGACAAGCAGGTGGGGGTGCACTTCCCATATGATGAAGGGCCAGAGGCTTTGGAAGCTGAAATTCGCTTTGCCGAGATGGTGAAGGCACACCTGAAGGGTACTCCTAGCTCCCCTGCTCCTGCGGCTACCTCAAGTCCTAATATAGTGGATGCTTTTGAATCTACTCCCTTCGATCCGAAGAGGAAGTAGAACTATGTATTTTGTTTTTATGAACAGCCTGTTTTGGGATAATGAATATAACTTTTCGTTTTAGGCTTGCCTGACTTGTTTTTGCTGTATGCTTTTGATATATTTCTCTGACTGGTAATGTGTTTAAACACTAAACATTGTCTTTATACTTCGGATTTATGCTATTCGTGAAAATGCAAGGATTGTGGGAAGAAGGAGATCCTTTTAACAGTTTAGTTGATATCGCAGGATGAGTCGTATGGACAATGATTTAACTGTTAAATGAACCTTCCTCGCCTTCTACTTGCCTTCAGTATACATACTCTTTCCTTCTCATGTGTTCCTGATGTGGGGTGGAATATGATGAACTTATGACATATCCGCATACACAAGGTATTAAACACTTGGAGTCCGGAGGAAAGAGTTCTGATCTGAGTAGGACACTTAGGGTCCGAAGCTGCCTCGGATACTCAGGATCCGAGGCGAATTATACATTCCCTGGCGTGGAGCCGGAGGGGGGTTTTGCCGAACCGAACACGTAGGGTCCGAGGCGAGATTTTCGCCGAGCCGAACACTTAGGGTCCGAGGCGAATGACCTATTCTCCGGCGCTGAGCCCGAGGGGAGGTTTAAATGAATCACTCCCCGGCGCTGAGCCAAAGGGGAGGTTTTGCCGAGCCGGACACTTAGGGTCCGAGGCGAGATTTTCGCCGAGCCGAACACTTAGGGTCCGAGGCGAATGACCTATTCTCCGGCGCTGAGCCCGAGGGGAGGTTTAAATGAATCACTCCCCGGCGC